CATAGTGAGATCTTCTTTCAAAAAGACAAAACCAAAAACGAAACAACAAAAACCCCATATATTTTCTGAAACTCACTTTTCAAGAGATCTTTTCAACCAGAAGCAGGTGATTTGCCATAATATGTTCCAGCAATCAATTTTGAAAGATGTTTAAAACAAGAATAAAGCATGCAATGCTTTACTGTGTGGGAGGTAAATGCTTGTAAATATACTGTATTTCTCAGATTTGTATGTGCCGGGTGCAGTCTCCACTACTACAGGTAGAGCAATATCACAACCAGTTGAAACATTTTCTAAACAATAGCAATATTTAAAAACCTCCAAAATGCAGCATTTGGAGGTGCTTTCTAAGGTGCTTCATAATTCATGTTTTTTAAATGGAATGTATCAGGCAAACTTCTACAAAGAGAAAACCCCATGAATACAGAGTGATCCACATACACTGACATGTTTCTGTACAGCTGTCTTAGATACTTGTATGTATACATAAGGACTACACAGGGAAAAAGAAAAAGATTTCCCTCTCCAGCTCCCTGAATTTCTGAAAGTTGTCTAACTCATAAAATGTTAAAATATTTCATTTTCATATAAAATATCTACAAAAATAGATAACATTTACAAAAACCAGATAGATATTCCAGTTTTCCTTAGGTAACCATTCATGTAGTCCCCTCTCCTCCTCTTCTCCTCAGAACGTTGCCATCTCTAACAAAGAGCGCTTGAAGAGCTGAGCGTTCCTAGACAGGTCTGTCACCTGGTGGACCATCTCCTGCAGAGCAGTGGTGCTGGGGTAGTGGAGGGCGGCCATCTTGGTCGCCATAACTATTGTCTTGAGCTGCTCACAGAGCTGGTTGCTGGAGTTCATGACTTTGTTGCGGATATCCTGTGCAGTCACCTGCCTTGTCAGCGTGTCTCCAATGAACACTAGTTTGTGTGCACTGAGGATGACAAACTTGCTGTGGGCCACAAAGATCCGAGGAGGTTGGGCTGAGCTGACACAGCTGAAGAGGGCGTCAATGGCATTGAGGAGGGATATAAAGTGGGTCTCACACTGGTCATAGTAGAAGCAGAGCAGCTGTCTGTCCTGGGCACCCACACTGTTGTTTGTGGTTGGGAGGTTCTGAGAGGGCTTCCATTTGGAGATGTCATTCTCCACAGGCTTTGTAATTTCTTGCTCTAATAGCTGGAACTGACTCAGCTGAAAGGAAGACAAAAGTAGATTTAATGAAGAGCAAGGCAGTGTTGGTAATGGAAAGGAACCTGGGCACAGAACTGAAAGACTCTGGCTTTAATGCCTAATTTGTGTCAGATGCTTTTAGCTGTCAGGGCCTGGTCAAGCCACCTTGCTTCCTAAGCTACACAATGCAGGTGCTGGGAAAGATGAACCCCCAGGAGTCCTCCAGTGCAGACCTCCTGTAATTAGACTGCCGGTCTCTTCTGGCTTCTGGCTGGAAGCAGCATAGGGTTTTTGTCACCTAGACCTTTCTGAAGGGTAAATGATATTTACAAAGTTCTCAGAGCATGGCTGACTTTGTGTAAATGTTGATTAAATGCTGAGTGGGGCCGAAGGAAGCCAAATGTGAGATTTTAGTCAAATAAATCACTAACAGTTTGTTTCTTCTTGGGGAGAGCCATGATTCTCCAAGGTGCTTAGATGAAGTAACAATTCTCAATGTTTTCTTATTTCTCCTACTCTAGCTGGCAAGATGGGTAGAGATGTTCCAACCTGGCACTATGGAAGTCTAATGCATAGAGACATACTCATTCTTAGGGAAAAGACTACAGCGGAGGAAATCTGAACGCTAGTTGTGTATCATAATGCTTAGCCTCTCTCCCAGCTGTTAAAAGAAAGGATCGGTACAGAGTCATGTACATTAGCTTTCTTGCTTCACTCTTCACTGTCCCCAACAGGAATATTATTTAATCTGCAATTATAATTTGTACCTATTCTACCAAGACTCAGGAGAGACTACTCTTTTGTAGGTAAGGATTATCTGTGATTTGATTTTAGGACTCAGTTAATCTCTCAGCCTGATGCAGGGTTGAGTCAGAGCAGAAATTACATCAGCCTGCTTCTCCTGAGAGAAAAGCACACAACCAGCCTGACGTTTCTATGAAATCTGCCTTCTCAGGATTTTTTTTTTTTTGTGCTGGCATAGGCTGTCTTAAGGGCAGTTCTGGTAATGCAGGTGGAGGTGGGGATCGAACCCTGGCATCCTGCGCCTGACTGCATTTGCATGAGCAGGTGCTTAAACAACTGAGTAATGGGCAGGTCTGCTGCCTTCTTCTCAGGAACCACTATGGTCTCAAGTTTCCTAAAGCCTTACTGTCCTACCTGCCCACTACCCATGCAAACACAAACAGATCCAAGGTGATAGTCTAAGGTATTTCATCAAAAGGAATTATATTTCATACAGCTTATGCTTTCATAAATACATGCATCAATGTATCCTCTCATTCAAAGGGGGGGCATATGTCCCATTTTCTAGAAGAATAAGTACAGGGAGGTTACATGACTTGCCTAAGGTGACATCACTGGCTGATCTGAGGACAAGAATTAAAAGTCCTGGTTTCCAGAGACAGCAGCCAGTTTCATGCCATTTCATTTCATTTCATTAACTTAGAAGAACTGTAGATCTTTAGTCCTTTTTTTTCCTGTATTTTTTGCCCTTGTCCTAGCAATACTCATCAGTATCTGCCCCACTTATATGCAATTCTGAACAAATATATCCTGCCCAAAGTCTTTGGCAAATGTTACATTTTGAAGACACAATTTCCTATCCTCCTGCCCCTAAAATGAACCATATACGGGCAAGACACGGGCTTTTGTTGTTGCTCAGAGAGAGAGAGAGAGAGAGAGAGAGAGAGAGAGAGAGAGAGAATCTGAGGAGCCACTGCAGGAAGTGAGGACTCTTTGGTGCAGTGCCATCATAGGAAGGGCCTTGCATGGCCCCTCACAGATTCCGTAAAGTTAACAGGAAGCTAAATGAGTCCACGGGCAAGGGAAGGTCAGAATATAGGGAAGAATGAAGTAGATATACAGAGTGAGAGGAAGGGAAGGGGGTAGGGAAAAGTAAAGGAAGCCTAAGAAGGAGAGAGAATATGTAGTCCCAGTTTTCTCCAAACTAGGCTATAGCTTCATGTTCTGTTCTTGAATTCCTTTACTATGGCATCAATAGAAAACTCATTTGATTGAGTGAGTCTGAGTGGGTCTTGTGTCTTGAGATGAAAAGCCTTAATGCAAGTAGTCCTAATATGTATTAACAGGCATAACCTGAAAAGAAATGTCATTTGGATATCATCCAGGTACATCCAGTTGGGTTGGCAAGGCCATAAACCTCTTTGTTCTTACACCCTGTTATATGCCTTGGAGCTCATTTATGCCAGTGTGCCGGCAGGATCTGAATTACAATCGTTTGAAGTTATATTTCCCTCCTAAGTTGGAAGCTTTTCCAGCACTGAAGGGTTTCTGTTCCAGCTGAGCTTACCTGGTGATGTTCCAGCTGCGTCTTGCTCTGTTTGATGATATTCTCTTTTTCCAACAGCTCCTTCTGTTGCCTCTCAAACTCCTCTTTACCCTATTATTTTTCAACAAAAAAACACATTACGTCATCTCCATGAGTCACTTATGCTAACAATTTCATTGACAACTGCATACGTACTCTTTCACTGTACCTGGTGTTCACCATTTCCCACTTGCCCAATTAGAGAAACAGTGTGAGTGCTACAGTGTTTCTCAGCTGGGTGTCTAGGGTTGCTGTGTACACCAAGGCTAAAAACTGGAGCCCCTTTCCACACAGATTCTGTGCTCTCTGCTCCACTTTAAGTATTTAGGGATAACTTGCAATGATCCCTTAATAAGTACAATTTCTCATGGTTCTTTTGTCATAGATTATATGTAAACCCACAAAGTTGCAAATACTCTTCTAGTTGTGGGCCATATGGCATTTCTAGTTTCTTCAAATAGCCTCTGTCTCTCTACTCAAGTTAGCACTTCCCAGTGTTAGGCTGTCCCAGTGGATGGCTGGTGAGGCAAATTTACCCTTCCTCAGCACCAGGCCTGGCTAAGTTGACCCTGCTTCACTCGCTCACACTCAGGGACAATGAAGTTTAATAGTTTTCGGTATATGAATGCACGGTTATCAGCCAAAAGAGAAGAATGGCAGAATAAGGTAAAATACACTTCAAATTCTAAGTAATGAATCTGGCTATAATATTCTAAACCTTCAACATGGAAAGGCAAGCTGCCAGAGTCCAGGTCAACTTGGACCTTGGTAGAAATTCCACTTGTAGAAAACAGACTGTGATTGTACAATGTCCCGGGTGCAAGTTAAGCTCTAAACCAAGTGGAGAATGCCCAGTTGTATTCTCAGTAAGACTGAGATGATACAAAGTGTCTCTCTGAATAAACACACACACACACACACACACACACACACACACACGTGCGCGCACACACACGACCTGGAGAGGACCTTAGAAATTCTCCCTGTATAAAAGTTTTCAATTATTTTTCTTAACAGTAGAAACTTTCTTTCAAATAAGCTATGATACAAAACCGTACTGTAAAAGCCAAATAGAAGTGGAGTTGGAGGTCGTCAGAGGACCTGCTATCCTACTTGGTAGTCTCTGGCATGCTTGAAGTGTGTCAGTGGGATCTAATCCAACCCAATAGATCATTCATTTTGCAAAAGAAAATTAAGGCCCAGAAGCTGGGTGTGGTGGTGCACACCTCTAATCCCAGCACTTAGGGGGCTAAGATAGGAGGGAGGATCATTGTGAGTTCTAGACCAGCCTGGGATACAAAATGAGTTCATGGCCAGATTGAACCACATAGAGAGAGACCCTGTCTCAAAAAGACCAAATAAAAAAAGAGAAAGAATTAAGGCCCAGGTAAGTGAAAACACTGGCCTACAGTTACTGCCAGAGCATGACCTTAAGCCAAGGTCACAAGGCTTTCAGTTCAGTTCCCGTAGTGTTCGGTATCACTTGCAACTTCCAAACCTCTCAGATTGACATCAGTTGTGCTTTCTCCAGCCTGACAGCCTTGAGAGCTACCTGTGTGTGAGTGTAGGAAGTCTGTGAGTCCAGTTCTTTACCTGGAGGTGGACATAATCATAATCATCCATCCAGCTCCTCTCAGAGCCATCGCTGCTGCTACAGTCGGGTGGCTGGTCCTTGCCCAGGATGGGGGGCATTGGCTTGTTGTGGGCCTGGGCCTTGCAGTCCCCAGGGCGTAGCAGCTGCATCTGGGAGCCAGCATGTGGGTACTCGGTTGAGTTCATGATGCTCTCAGGCCCATTCTTGAGTTGCAAACTGCCAGGGCCTGGTCTGAAGAGGGTTTCTGCGTTGGTGTTGATGGTGGTGGTCAGCTGTTTGGCATCATCAGGCACTGTCTTGGCCACCATCACAAACCGGTCCAGGTCATCACATTTGTTTTGGGGTTTGTTGATGGCCAGGATATTCAGGGACCAGCTGCATTCATTTAAGTCATGGCTGGTTTGGCTGAGGATCTGGTGGGAGTCTTCCACTCTCTGGAGCTCCCGCTTCATTTTGTTGTGCAGCACGAGTTCTGGGAGGCAAGAGGCATTTGCTACAGCTCCCTTGGCAAAGTGGAGGTAGTCACGCAGCAACAGCTCCACCTTCTCCACGGCTGCGCGGATCTCATTGATGTGCCTTTCCATGTACCCATAGCACCGCCAGTCTGTGGTCACCAGGGCCATGAGGCTGCAGACCCCCACCTCCAGGGCCTGCTGGAGCCGATGGAGTCGCTCGATGGCCGAGTCTGGATCCAGGAAGAGCCTTTGGTCCTGAGGCGGCGAGGCTGACAATGAGGACTCCTTTGAGGAGGTGGACGATGTGGACATGTTACTCCTGGTGCTCCCTGTGCTGGAGAAAGACAACCGGTTGATGCCATCTACCACATCCCGAGAGCCTTTAGTGTCTGGGGGGTTGTGCAGAGGGACATCGTAAACACCATCTCTTTCTTCAAGGCTGGTTTTCTCACTGGCTTCTGCTGGTGGCTCCAGAAACTGAACTCCTCGGGGTATATCATAGGCATCATTGTGAGGGCCTGGGGGGGAGGGGCGGTGCAGGGAAAGGCTCTGGTGCCTCCGCGCCACAGGCTCAGCAGCCCCTGGCCCGTCATAACTGAGCTTCGGGTGTGGGTCCTTGGCCCCTGGCTTGGTGCTGGTGGGGGGGATGTCATAAACCCCCTCGGGTCTGGTGTCCACCCTTCCAGCTTGTTTCATTGGAGAGGGGAAATCATATTCCTTTTCCCTCAGCCCTGCTTCATCTCGGTAGACAGAAGGTGGGATGGCATAGATCTGAAAAGTAAGCAAAAAGCAAAGCTCTTATTTGTTCAGGTGGCCCTTGGGTGTGTGGACACTGAACAACCCACGTGAATGCAGCTCTTCTCACTCTTCCCTCTGAAAGGAGGCAGTCCTGGGGTGCCATGGGCCTCCCCTCCCATGCAGGGCAGGGCATCCTTAGTATGATAGCTCTGTGCTGACATGTGTGTGGAGTCCTCCTGGCTGAGCTGCTTGCCCTTGGGACCCTCCCCACCTCCTGGGTATCCTTCCTGAGAAGCAGAGGATGCATTAATGCATTGGGCTGAGGCTCAGGACCCCTGAGGTCTCTTCCCAACCTCCTTGGTCATCACACCAACTGTGCGAAGCCATGTAGGTCACCTGAGTGTTCTGAGACACGGTCCTTGTATCTATAAAAAAAGATACCTTTCCTCCCAGTGGGGGTGCACTGCAAAAAGAGGCAGCAAAGGAGCTGAACTAACTCTTACATGTAGGCTAAGTCTAAAGCCCTGCATAAATACACGAAGTATTAGAACTTGCCGAACTGAGCTAATTGTCTTCTCATCTAATCGGCTGTCCTTATTGATGTTCCTGTTTTTAAGAGGAGACTCTAAACCTGGAATCCCTACAATTCTTCCCTTCCCTTATCTTTGTCCCATCACCAAGACTGGTTTTTCCACTTTTGGGTTTGCCCACCTTGTTTTATTCCAGTGGTCCCCCCAACACACACACTCTCTCCTCATGCCTCAGTAGCATTCTTACCCCTTTAGTAGGAGGGATGTCATACACCCCTTGAGGTTCTATCTCTCCCACTGGAACAGAAAACACAGCGCCTTTCATGGATGAGGGTGGGATGTCATACACCTGGGGAGAAACACTTTCATTACCCATGGTGGAAATGGTTGCATTTTTTTTTTTTAACCAGGTTAGTACAGGCTTGATCTTTGGCAGCATTCCATGCCATCAAGGAGTGATGAAATAAAAAACAAAAACAAAAACAAACTTTGTGTTCTTTGAATGATATTGAATATGAAAGTGACCTTAAGAAGAACATCTGCTCTGTTTGTTCTTTAAATTGTAATTTAAGTTTGTACTTCCAGGAATAAAATGATAAACTGCTAAAGCAACCAAATCTTGCTCAGCTAAACCATTAGGATTTCCTGATAAGGAAAATTCAAGAAACATAATTTTAAAAAATTGGCTAAAATGGCCTCTGGATGGATGAGCTCAGCAAAGCCTCATCTGAAACATACACAACTTGTGAACTTCCTTTCCTCTCTAGTTCAAGGAATGCTGCTCCAAGAGCCCCTGCCCTGGAGACCACACCCTGTACCTACCCCTTGAGTGGTATGGGAAGGAGGGATGTCGTAGACGTCCTTTTGGTATCTGGATGGGTACTCGTATACATAGCCGTGGTCGGTCCTCACCGGGGTGATCACCTGTGGGAGGAAACAGGTGTAAATCCTGGGGCCCAAACCTCAGTGACTCTCCCGGCCTCCCACCTGGGCATCTATCTATCTCTCTCCCTGGAGGAGAGGGAGAGCGTGCAAGGGGAAGAAACAAGGAAATAGAAAGACGACGAGGATGACAAGACGACGCCAAGGTAAACTTTTAAGCTCTTGTTAGAGTCCAGTAGAAGCAAGTCTTTGAGATAGCCCTGCTGCTCTCATGGCCACAAACATCACCTCAGAGTTCATCAGCTTGGGGCTTGGTTCCCAGAGCCGGGCTTTGTGTTTAAATTCTGTTTGTACTCTGTGTTGAAATTAGGCAAACCCTAGATGATTCCCCCAGAGAGGCTGAAGGCAAAGCATGCTGAATTTCTTTTTAAAAAGACTTGAAACTTTGCAAAGCAAATAAGCCAACAGTTTGGCCACTTAAAATTCCAGTCATAGCTTCTCTAGTAGGCCTCTTCATCTGACATTATGATGATGATTATAATTAAAATTCCATAGGTCACAAGAGTACTTCTACAAAGCCAGCACTCACCAGAGCTGCCCTTCGAAGCTTCAGGGAGCTTTCCACTGAAGTTACAAATGAAATACAGTTAGTTGCTCCCCAGGATCCATATGGATGGGCTGCGGGACCCTCTTCAGGTGCCAAACCCCATAGATGCTCAGGGCCCATGTAGCCGATGGGGCAGCACTTGCATAGAGCCAACATGCACCTCACAGCATACTTCAGCATCTCTCGATTGCTTGTACTATCTAATCTGATATAGATGCTGTGTCTGTAGTTGGTACAGCCTATTGTTTACTGAATAATGAGAAGAAAAAGCCCACCCATGTTCAGTACAGAGGCAAATGCTTTTCTGCATATTATGATGTGTGTTTGGTAGATCCTGAGATATGGAGCTGACTGCACCGACTCAAGGAGCTGCAGGAGCACAGTGCCAGGCTCCTGACCTCTGCCCTCCTATCATTTTCCAATTTGTACTGGGGAAGCAAACATCCTCTACAGTTCCTGCATCCTCAGATGTCGGAAATCAAATGCATGTACTGTGGGTCTGGCATCTGAGTTGATGCCAATGAAGTGAATCTCACCCTTCAGACTCCTATATTCGTGTCTACATACAGCACTGGTTTCCCAAGCATGGGTACAGACATTATTCTAAGTGAATTTATTTTGAAATGTATCTAATCCTCCCAGGGCTTCTGAGGTGGCAGCATTCTGTTCTTGCCTTCCTCCCACCCACAGTCACCAACAGCGTCCACTTTATGAACTGCCCCCGGCATCTCTGAGAACAGGCGCTGCAAATTAAGAAGCACCGGTTGTTGCCTAAGAAACCCTCATCTTTTATCCATTCTCTAATGTGAAAACCCTGGCGTCAGGCTGCCTACAAAGCTATGTGAAAAATGCTCTGCGTCCGTTTTGTGCCGAAATGGGTGGAATACAGCCAAAGGCATCAATGCCCTTCTCCCCAGGAGGCTCTAAGATGCTGTTTAAAACCCCTGGTGCTCCCAGCTGATTCTTTCTTGCAGCGAAGGTAAAAGAGATTAATATGCACTCAGCATCTCCATCAAGCCTCCCAGCTTTAGGGCTTGCTGGCGTGGAGTGGCCACTGTAAACCAGGATGACCTCTGCTACAGCAAAATAGCAAAACACACCGTGTTCCTCATGCCCTTGTCTAAGTTTTTCTTTTTTCTCTTTTTTTGTACTCACTATTGTCCAGAAGAGAAATGAAGAGCTTCTCTTAGTCTATCTTATCAGCTCTTCTATTTATAACTTTCTATTTCAGCTTCATAATAGGACCTGCTCACAACGCAGCTTTTGTTCAGCCTAAACGTTTCTAAGAATGGAGTTCTTCCAGGGTTGGCAGCTTCAACATAAAACTAATGGAGGGCCATACTGCAGTGCTGAAGGCCAGCCTAACCGAGTGCCCTTCATTTAAAAAGAGGAGAGAGCAGGAGGTTGGGGTGGTACTGGTGTCTAAAAGTGGCACTGGCTGATATGTAAACATAGGACACGACCCTGTGAAAAGGTCAGGAGTGGACCAATCCAAGGCGGGGTACCGTCGCTGGCATGGCACCCTCGTGCTTCGTGGTGTGCCTCACTTCCTGACGATGTCACAGAAGCCCAACTCGCTTTCTCTTTCTCATTTAGAGGCTGCCTGTGGTCATCTGGTTTTTAAAAACTTCGCATTCCAAACCATTCATTTGCCTTGTTTATACATTCAGAGAAACAGATGGCGAAAACTGCAGGGAGAAAAAGCCAACGAAGTCCAACCTCCCTGACTCCAGTATTCCGGATGGCGCAGTCTAACTCTCACTGGTCTGCAAATGGCCTTTCGGCAGGACCAGCGTTTTCCATCTGGTTGGACTCATCCAGGGCTCTGAGTGCTCCTTGCGGTGATGTCTGGAAGATCCGGAAGCCAGAGCTGGGCACAGCCTCTGCCTCGACCTCTTGTTTGGGTGGTCTGCGTGCCAACTGAGTGTTCTCTCCGTAGAGGAAAGTGCTGACCGAGCTGCACCTTCCAGCGTCTCCAGTTCTGTGGTTCCTTACAGCCTGGTCTTCCTGCTCCACCGAGGACACAGAAACCTCTCTGTTTTCTCCTCACTCCACAGAACCTTGGCCTCCAAGCACACCACCGGCTGGCAGCAGGCTCCTGGGCATTTGTATGGGAGGGCTCTGGGGGAATCCCTACACAAAGGGCATTTTTGAAGTAACTTTCTCAATGAAGTCAAGTCAGGTTTTTCCTTTCCTTTTTCTTCTCCCTTTGTTTTTATTTTCTGCATTCCTTTCATTCTGTGGATGTATTTATAGTTACGAGGGCTTAGCCTTAGGGATTACCAAACTGACCTCTTAATTCATTAGTGTTTCCTGGATGAGGGCTAAGCTGTGGGATCCTGGGGCTCTGTGGCCACATGCTACTGCGACTCTGCACTTGCAGATGGGGCTTTTTGGGCCCCATCCAATGAGGACTCCAGCCTTTCTCAGAACTTAGTGCAGCAGTCTTGTCAACAAGCAGGCAAGGCCCAGGCCACAGACACGGGGAGGAGGAGCCACCAGGCAGCGAAGACGGGCACACATGCTATGTGTCGAGGCACGCATCTGTAATCCCAGCATTCCAGAGGCCGAGGTAGGAGGATTGCTGGGAACTGGAGCCTGGTCTACATGGTAAGTTCCAGGCTAGCCTGAATAGAGACATCCTGTTTTTAATTTCTTATTTTTTTTAATGTATGTAGTACAGGGTCTTACTACACAGCTTAGACTCGTGGTGATCCTTCTGTTTTCAGTCTCTCCAGCACTGGAATTACAGGCATGTGCCACTATGCCTGGTCTCAGTGGCCGGCTCAGTGTGCCCAGGAGTGGGGCCAGTATGGCTTGTGATGTTGGGATTGAACCCCAGTCCCTGCGCTTACTGAAACAGGCATTTAGTCTGCTGAGCTATCCACTGGCCCAAGATCCTGTCTTTAAAACAATAACAATAACAACAACAACAACAAAAGAACAAAAGAAAAAACAATGAAAAGTGGAGACTCTAAAGTACTTTTGTTTGTTTTGCTTTCCTGTTTTAATTAAGTAATTAGTTAACTAATGGGGGTTCTGTGTGATATTTTCATACATGTACAATGCTAGCATTTAGGAAAGGCCAAGTCTATTGAATAAACCTCTAAGAGTGGCTGGATAAGATCAAAAGCCCAAAGGCTGGGGTTACATTACTTGTCTAATCTGTTTATATAAAAAGAAGACAACAGCCTCAGCTCGCCCCATGTCACAGTTCAATGATGTTGAACTCTGCACATTTGCAGCCTCCGGTCTTGGCTCCAGGAGCTGTCTGCAGAGAGGTCTCAGATGCAGGCAGACCCCTGTGCCTGCAGGTTCCGAGCTCATTTATGCCCAGGCTCAGGGGCAAATCCAGGGGCAAAGCCATGCCACTACCCAACCGATGTGGATTCTGTTCCTTGCCCTTCACCATTCCTCAGACAAGACAGCAGGGCTGGGGTGATAGCTCAGTAGAATAAGCTCTTGCCTGGTAAGTGCAGGGTCCTGAGTTCAGCCCCCAGTTCCCCCCCCAAAAAAGAATAATAAGATAGCAGAGCAACTGTGTACACAGTGCTTATAGTGCAAGCAGGATTGTAAGTCATCTAGAGATGATTTAAAATTTACCAGAGGATGTGTGTAGGTTTATGCAAATGCTACACAATTTTGATTAAGGGACTTGAGCATGCAAGGATATTGGGACTATTAGGATTCTGGGAACAAATCTTCAGAGGGATGATTTTACTTTTGTCTCAGAATTATGAAAGCCAGGCGTACTATAACTTAAGGGTCTAAAGAAGAACATTTCTATGCGGATAGTGGCAGGCAAGGGGCAGTGTAGATTGAGAAGCAACAGTATAGAATAAGTGGGCTTGAACAGAGGCTTCAGGGTTCTTCGCTGATGTTTCTCCCTTTGCCAGGGCCGAGACCTGCAGCGGTGCACGGACCTGCACCCAGATGTTTGCAAGACCAAGCAAGCGGAGGGTGGTGGAGACACAGCTGCTGCTGTATCCAGAGATAGCGCACATCTACTAAAGAGGCGGCCCTGCCTCAAGCCCAGCCAACTCCTGCTCTGGCAAAGTGCTCTCTCTGTTGTCAGATCTTCCACATTTTCAGGAGAAGCCACTAATCTGGATTTTCATGTGACATCTCCTGGTTTTCAAAATTGGCCTGAATTTTTAAAACAGTATTTTGATCAGACTAAACACATCCCTGGGCCCGAGGCTGCCAGGCTGCTCTCGAGAAGCTGTGAGAAAGGAGCCCCAAAATACAGGGTTTGTATTACTCCTTTTATCCAAAATACCATCCCGTAGGTTTCTGGCATGTGGCCAGAAACCTATGTATTTTGGGGCTCCCTTCTCAGAGCTTCTCCCTCTCATCACTCCCTCAGGAAGCCACCCACACACCTCAGATGTTACTGTTCAACTGCAGTCTCACTGTGTCCGAGTGTCTCATCTTT